GGTCATGGTCCCTATCCTCTCTGTTGCAGGATCAAAGTGCCGTTTGACGCTGTGGAGCAGAAACAGAGTGTCCCTTACCAAATGCTCTTGCTTTTGGAGGCGATGCAGCGGGGCAAACACAAATCAGTGCACCCCACAGGTCTTGCCAAGTGTCTTTCAGAGCATCGAGTCAGATGTAAGGAGCAACTGGAGGGTTTCTTCCAATCACCGGCGGGACAGGGTTGCTTTTCATCCTCCTCCCCATGTAACTGAAGAATGGGAAAATGCAATAGATTGGGCATGGTGGCAAAATACTACAGTTTAGGTTGCGGGCTGTTCTGTATCCTCATTTTTGTTGCTTGTGTATCTCTGTTGTTTGGGTGGGGGGTGTCCTTTTCCACATGTGTTTTGCTCCCTCTAGTGGTCAGTTCGATACTACTTCTCTGTATGTCCAGCACATTTCCTTGCCGATTTAAACTGCAGGTTTTAATGCCAGACATACAGCAATGTAATATTGAATTGACCACTAGAGAGCAAAACGTGCAGAAAAGAAGAAGAGATTGGATTTATATCTCACCCTTCACTCGAAGTCTCAGAGCGGCTTACAATCTCCTTTCCCTTCCCCTCCCCCCAACAGACACCCTGTGAGGTAGGTGGGGCTGAGAGAGCTCTTGAGAGAGAACTGCTCTTGAGAGAACTTGTGACTGATCCAAGGTCACACCAGCAGCTGCAAGTGGAAGAGTGGGGAATCAAACGCTATTCTCCCAGATTATAGCCTGTGCTCTTAGCCACTACACCAAACTGGCTTAACCGCTACACCAAAAAAATGAAGCAATAGAGACAAGTGATGAAAATGAGGATGTGGAAGAGCTCTCTGTTCAGTGATGGAATGCTGGGGGAGGATTAAGGAGAGGTGATGGGTAGAATGTTGGAATTTGGGAGGTGCTCACAGGAAACAAAGATCCATGATGCTAAACTGTATCTTCTCCTGTTCGTTCAGTGTTCGTTCTCTATGATGCTTCCCAACTCTTCCTGATCCTCTGGAACCTAATTAAGAGTCAAATCACAAATTCACATCTGGTAAGTTCCTGGTTTTGTAAAAAGGAACATGCTGTTGCTAATCTCAGTCTTCGTTCTTAAAAGTTCTGGAATCAGCCTAGGTTCTGTGTAATATTTGTGCTCGTTCTTCTTAGTTATTTGATTTCAGTACCAATATTCTAGAACTCATGAAAGTTACAGCTTTGCTAGCCGCGCTCTACACCCTACGAGGTACAATACAGCTGGGGTGCCCAACCTTTTTGAGCCTGCGGGCATCTTTGGAATTCTGACACACCATGGTGGGCACAGCCACCCCAAAATGATATAACAGCACATGCAAGTGAAGGAAAAGGGGGAAACAAACTCAGCCCAAAATATACCGATAATGCTGCAAGAATCAAGCTACCTCAAGTGAAATATTATCAAAATATCAACATGAGCTTTACATCAGCTGTAGTAATTTCACATACAAAATTGATCATTTCATATACACAGTTGATGAATACATCAAATGACTAATAAGACCATACATGTTTCAGTTTCTAAGGCCTTCCTCAGTGGTTAATAATATATACTATTTCAAAAAGACACAGATTCAGAAGTGTGTGTGTGTGTGTGTGTATAATGCTAATTTGGGGTGAGCACGCTCGATGCGCTCCCTCAGCCATAGGCTGAGGTGGCTGCCACTCACGCCAGGGACGCCAGCCACTGGCCGCGGTCTCTGCCCCCGCCCACAGAGGCGGCACCGGAGTGAACGTGTCCTGCGATTCGAAGAGAGAGCTGCTTTGGTGTGGCCATGCTCGATGCGCTCCCTCAGCTGTAGCCTGAGCCAGCCGCCACTCACTCCAGGGACGCTGGCCACTGGCCACAGTCTCTGACACCTGCCCAAAGATGCGGTGCCGGGGCGAATGTGCCCCACAATTTGAAGACACCGTGGCGGAGTCTTGCTCTGCCACCCAAACAGCCACTATGTCCGTCCTCTCCCGAGTGCCCATAGCCAGCCGTGCTGCGTGCGGCCTGATGACGGAAGGGCTGCGCGTGCCACCGAGGGGCTGTGGCCCATGCCTGCCACCCTTGCCTGAACGCGCATCGCCGCCCGGCCTCCGTGCGATCTGACGACGGGCGGCCCGGCCGCTCCAGAGTGGGGGGGCTCACCCCGATCCTGCCGCTGCCCTCACCTGAGCCCGGCTACAGGCTCCCTGCTGCCCTGCGCCTGGACATTGGCTGCGCTGCCCACTCCAGTGCGCGGCGCCCGCCTCCGGCTGCGCCCGATCCTGCTGCCGCTGCCACCTACATGCAGCTGGCTGGCCTCTCACTGGCTGCTGGAGGTCACCCAGCCACTCTCTCGCCCCCCCAACTCCGGGGGGTTGCGCAGGGGGGAGATTGGGAGATGGGGAGCGCCTCTGTTGCACCGTGCTAGGGCTCGTTGTCTTCCTCCACAACGAGCTTTACTCCTAGGATGTATGTATGTGTGTATATCCAGACCAGGTGTTGCTTTCTCATATGTTGAGCGGTTGTTGAAAATTTATAAAGCAGTCCATGGAATCCTTCTAATGGTAACTGTACTCAAAACAAAAATCTTCAATGATATAACAATCTGGTATAAAATTTCCAATATCTCTGGATGTGTGTGTCATCAACCAAGAGTTGCAATAAAGTCCACCTTATTGCAACTCTTGGTAGATGTTCTGTGCAGTCTGATATTCAGACCTTATGTTTTTAATCTTTGCCGTTGTGTACACCATATAATCATATATATTTAAAAAGGTAAGCTAAACTGGCGACAACTCACCTACTCTCCCATTGGCCACTGGGGAAGTGCCTTGGCGTCCTATTGGCCCATCACACCGGCTTCTCCATTCTTACATCCCACTCCATTCTTACATCCCACTTCTGATGTGTTGCATCTTGGGAGTTGTAGTTCTCAGCTGGCCTTACGGCAACCATAGCAAAAGGAATTAGAACTAGAACTCCCAAGTTGGGAGACCCAAGAGGCTGTGGGTCAATCGAAGTGTTAATCAGTTAAAGTGTTAAATGGGAAGCAGCTTTGGAATGGAAAGGGGTTGGGAAAGGGAAGGCCTGGACATCTCCCTGAATTACAAATGATCTCCAGACTACAGAGATCAGTCCCCATGGAGAAAAGGGTTGCTTTGGAGGGTGAGCTCTCTAGCAGGAGGCCTCACTGAACTCCTTAACAAACCTCCCCCTCCCCCAAACATTGCCAACCTCCAGTTGGCACCAGGAGATCTCCAGCTATGACAACTGATCTCCAGATGACCAAAATTAGTTGTCCTGGAGCAGATGACTGCTTTGGGCAGTGGGCTCTATGGCATTATACCATGCTGAGGTCCCTCCCCACCCCAAACCCTGCCCTCTCCAGGCTCTACCCCGCCAATCTACAGGTATTTCCCAACACAGAGTTGGCAACCCTGTAACTTGCTATTTAACTGCTTTCCATGCCTTGAAAACTTCAGCTGCCCACTTCTACTCATTAAGCATTTATTAAAAGGACAGGGCCTGACCTGGGTAGCTCAGGCTAGCCCGATCTCATGAGATCTCGGAAGCTAAGCAGGGTCGGCCCTGGCTGGGGTTTGAGTGGGTGGTTGCCAAGGGAGTCCAGGGCTGCTCTGCAGAGGCAGGCCGTGGCCAGCCACCTCTGTTCGTCTCTTGCCTTGAAAACCTCTCAAGTGGCCATAGGTCAGCTAAGACTTGACGCCACTTTACACATACGAAGGAACAGGACTGTTTCCTCCCCAAGTTGCTGGCAACCCTCCCTGGCGATGAAAATTTAAAAGGCTTAGAATTAGACAAGCATGAAGGCCTTTCTCAGATGGGTCTTGGTGCAGCATATACAAGAACAAACTGTGTTGCAGAATGGGGAGCCATATTAGCCTGTCTGTAGCAGTACGTACAGTAGAGGAGCTGCGGTGGCTCAAGTGGTTAAGACGCTGAACTGCAGGCTGTGGAAGGTCGGTAGTTCAGCAGTTCGAGACCCGAGTGTGCCGCATGAGGGAGTTAGCTCCCGTCTCTAGTTCCAGCTCCTGCCAACCTAGCAGTTCGAAAGCAAGAAATTGCAAGTAGATAAATAGGTACCACTTCGGTGGGAAGGTAACAGCGTTCCGTGCGCCTTGGTGTTTAGTCATGCCGGCCACATGACCACGGAAACGTCTTCGGACAGCGCTGGCTCTTCGGCTTGGAAACGGAGATGAGCACCGCAACCCTAGAGTCGGATTCGACTGGCTTTCGAGCAAGGGAACCTTTACCTTTTTAAGGTGCTCCTTGACTCTTGCTGTTTTCTAACTCTGTTGCCGTTATTGTTCACCGTTGATAATGTTATTTACTTGCTTCGTGGTTGTCTCTCTTCCCCCCACCCCCCTTTCCTTTAAGGCTGAAAGTCTGGCAGACCTGTATACCATCCGCTTGCAAGAGTATTTGGTGTGTCAGAAATGCTTGCTGGAGACAAAGAAGAACAGCAACATGCTGATGCTTCCCCTCCCAATGTTCAGTCACGATTCTCATCGGGTCAGGACCTTGGTAAGCTTAGTGCTCCATTGCAGAGTGCAGACACGTATGTGTATGTATAGAGATAGACAGACAGACAGGCACTCTAGCCTGTTCTGCATTTACAGAAGAAAAAATTAAAGCGGGGTTCAGGGGGCCTTAGCTGTGCTCTTTGCCTAATCGAATCCTCCCACTGTGCTTGCAGGAAGATTCGTTGCATTGCTTCTTTGCACCAGAACATCTGACGGGGGACAACATGTGTCACTGTAAGCGGTGTGACAAGAAAACAGTGTGTTTGCAGGTAAACTGGGTATCCATCCCAAGTGCTGCTGAGGCAGGGGGGAGGGTTGCCTCCTCTCTAGAATCCTAGAGTTGGAAGGGACTTCCAGTGTCATCTAGTCCAACTCCCGCACAGTGCAGGAAATTCACAAATACCTCTTTGGCATTTCATGGCTTTTCCCTTTTAGGGTGAGCTTGTCGCCAGACAGGTATCCTGCATGAAACCACCAGATCCAGATCTTCTGTCATAGATTGTCCCATCTTTTCTTAGCTCAAGTCATGACTCTCTCCTGTGGATCTGCATTCCATGCTCCAGTATTGATTATTTCTGTCTGCTGACTTGCAGGGCATGAAAGTAACCTGTCTACCTCAGACCCTGACATTGCACCTGAAACGTTTCTGTTCCAAGCATGGCAACGACACTCAGAAGATCGGCCATTACTTGTCGTTCCCTCAGAATCTAGATTTCAGGCAGATCCTGACGCGAGAGCAATATCAGCCAGACTTTCCGGAAGAGGTGGATTACTTATTTCTGTCATAATTCTAGCTAGGAATGCAGAAAACAGAATTCAGAAGTGCTGAAATGGCCCCACTGGTGGACCTCCTGATGGCACCTGGGTTTTGGCCACTGTGTGACACAGACTGTTGGACTGGATGGGCCACTGGCCTGATCCAACATGGCTTATCTTCTGTTCTTAATGCTTTGTTCCTTGAAGCTTCCTGTGTGAGCAGTGATAATTTGAAAGTACAACAACAGTGATCCGATTAAATCTCCATTCTGATAGTGGCCAGTTAAGAGAGTTTAACAAAATTTCTGGAGTATGTCCTAGAAATAGCTGAGGCTCTGTAAGTTTAAGGGTGGGTGAGATTTGAACTGAGGATTTCCCATATTAGTCTCCACCCTAAACCAGCTCCCAAGATTTTAGGCAACAGAGAGCACTGCTCTCAGAGCAATCGGCACCAAGTTACATAATAATAAACTAAGTGCTGTCGTGTCCCAACTTAGCAACTTATGGTGCCACCCCCATGGGGTTTTCAAGGCAAGAGACGTTCGCAGGTAGTTTGCCATTGCCTTCCTCTACATAGTGCTTCTTCACCCAAAGAGTCATTAACACATGGAATTCACTGCCACAGGAAGTGGTGGCGGCTACAAGCACAGACAGCTTCAAGAAGGGATTGGATAAACATATGGAGCAGAAGTCCATCAGTGGCTATTAGCCACAAGGTATATCTGGGGCAGTGATGCTCTGTATTCTTGGTGCTTGGGGGGCCACAGTGGGAGGGCTTCTAGAGTTCTGGCCCCACTGGTGAACCTCCTGATTGCACCTGGGTTTTGGGCACTGAGTTTTGGACTGGATGGGCCGTTGGCCTGATCCAACATGACTTCTCTTATGTTCTTATAGCAGCCCTGGTCTGAGAGCCCATTTGGTGTAGTGGTTAAGAGCATGGACTCTAATCTGGGAGAACTGGGTTTGATTCCCCACTCAGCTGCATGCAGCTGCTGGTGTGACCTTGGGTCAGTCACAAGTTCTCTCAGAACTATTCTCTTAAGGGCAGTTCTCGAAAGAGCTCTCTCAGTGCCACCTAACCTCACAGGGTGTCTGTTGTGGGGAGGGAAAGGGATTGTAAACCACTCTGAGACGCCTTCAGGTAGTGAAAGGCGGGGTGTAACTCCAATCTCCTCCTCCTCCTCTTCTCTTCCTTGCTGGTCTCCCATGCAAATTCTAATTGGGGCCAACTCTTCTTGGGTTCCAAGCTCTGACAAGCTGAGACTGGTCTGAGCTATTCCAGTTGGTGTATAGAAATATTGATTTCTAAAAGTTTCATGTCTTCCCCTGGAATGTCTCTTGCTGATACCCTGCTGTGTTGATTTCCTGTTGAAGCCAAATGGTGAGGCCCAGATGGCCTCTATAGCCATGCCATGCCATGCCATAAAAACACATTCCTGCACACTTCCATGCTGGAAGCTAGGCCAGCATGTTAGAAACGCAGGTAGCTGATGGAGAAGCTGGAATTTGGGGACCACCTGACTGCAGAGGGTGCTCTCCAGACCTAGCCTATCCCTCACCCGTTGCCATGACCACCCACTGTCTGAAATGGCTGATGGCTGCAGGGCAGAGGTCATCGTCTTCCACGTTAGCCAGGAGCTGCTGGTGCTGTCTGTAACTTCCAGCCATAGTGCCTTTTGTGGGCATCTTTTGTGGACGTTTCTCTTGAGTGGGGTGTGCAGGAAAAGGAGAATTGACTGCAGGCAAGACATTAGTCCTTGGAAGGTTGTCATTGGAACTGTCCAGGTACAGTGCAATTTGGGGAATAAGTCTGTCCACAGTAGCCATCTAGGTGGTTCATAAGAACAACATAAGAACAAAAGAAGAGCCCTGCTGGATCAGACCAGTGATCCCGCTGGTCCAGCATCCTGTCTCACACAGTGGCCAGCCAGTTCCCCTGGAGGGCCAGCAACAGGGCATAGAGGCCGAGGGCTTCCCCTGATGGTGCCTCCTGGCTCTGGGATTCAGTGGATTAGTGCCTCTGAATGTGGAGGTTCCCCTCAGTCGGCTAGCAGCCACTGTTAGACTTATCCTCCACGAATCCCCTTTTAATCTCTTTATTCCTGCAGCTATCACCATATCTTTTGGCAGTGAATCACTCTCTGTGTAAGGTAATTTTTCTTTTTGTCTCTCCTGAACCGTGGAAGCACCATCCTTTGATAGGAGGCTAATCTCCCTGTAAGTGCAGTCCTCAGTTCTTGGAAAGTTGTGGATCTGGTTTGTGCTCGTGTTGACAGCTTCTCTGTATGGCTTTTTGCAGGGCAGTGGGTTGTATGATCTCTTTGCAGTGGTCGCACACTCCGGATCAGCCCGCTGTGGCCACTACTGCGCCTATATCTGGAGTCTCATGGAACACAAGTGGTATTGCTTCAATGACTCCAGCGTCTGTCAGGTGAGGAAACCAGACCCCCATCTCGAGCTGCTCCAGCACCCCATTCCTGCATCCCAGGATCTGTGCACCAGACTCTGCGCCCAGTCCAGTTCTAGTCACACACGTGCAGACATAGCTCATAGCGTGAAAAGGTAGATGACCTTTCAGTCACATGCCAGAACACTTGTACAATTCAAAGCACTACACTGCTGTTACATTCTCTGGGATGCACGTTCTTGATTTTTACACTCGATCAGACCTTAACTGTGGGGACTGATTTACAAATATTAGTTAAATGGGTCACCCTGGTTTGTTTATAAAAGACAGCAGACCAGTGTTCCCTCTAAGCTGAGTTAGTGTGAGATAGCTCACAGTTTTTTAGCCCCCGGCTCACACTTTTTTGTCTCAGCTCAGGAAGGAGGGCTCCAGAGCAAACTAATCTATGCAGTAGCCAACTCTGAGCTAGCTCACACTAACTCAGCTTAGAGGGAACACTGCTGGTGGTCATGGATCTTCCCAGGGAGACAGTATGGTACAGTGGTTAGACTATAGGGCCAGGATCTGGAGGACCCAGGTTTGAATCCCCACTCTGATATGGAAGTTCACTGGGTGACCTTGGGCCACTCACACACTCTTGGCCTAACCTGAGCCTGCTTCGGCGGGGAGGGCGGAGTATAAATTGAATAAATAAATAAATACCTCACAGAGTAGTTGTGAGGATAAAATGGAGGCGAGGAGAAGACTTACCACAACTCTAGGAAGAAAGGCCAAAAATAAATGAAGTAAATAAATAAAAATAAATCCCCCCCTGCAGCAGCCCTTCCTTTCATGAGGAAAGTTGGCTCCCAGGGTGGGAAGACACATGTAGAGTAATACAACGGGTGAGGCCTTTTGTTGTTGTTGTTGTTTTCCCTTGGCATTTGCTCAGGGATCCCTCCTTCCTGCCCAACATTTTGTGTACGTATTTTAGCTCTGGTTTTAAATTGTTTTAATGATGTGCTTTTTGTTGATTTTTATGGTTTTTAAGATGTAATTTTATTGTGTATGGGGTTTTTTTTTTAACTTGCTAGCCGCTCTGGTGGCCCTTATGAGGGCAGACTTGGGATATAAATTTTGTAAAATAAAATAAATAATTGCCACGCTGCAGTCCAGTGGGGTGAGGATGGAAGCGGGAACAGTTTTGTACCTGTCCCTCTTTCCGCTGTGGCCCACCACCCTGTAACTTCTTTTCCTGGGTCTGGACGCTGTTACAGGATGCAGGAAGCCTGAATCGCTGGATCCAGGCGACTATCAGTATGGCAGTGGAAAGCGCTGTCAAGGCACAGCCAAGTTATGGCAACCTGTTATGGGGTTCTCAGGGCAAGGGATGAGCAGAGGTGGGTTGCCATTGACTACCTACCTCTGTTCAGAGGTGGTTTACCATTGACTGAGAGCCAGTGTGGTGTAGTGGTTAAGAGCAACAGACTAATCTGGAGAACCGGGTTCGATTCTGCACTGCTCCACATGAAGCCAGCTGGGTGACCTTGGGTCAGTCACAGCGCTTTCAAGAGCTCCCTCAGCCCCCCAAAATAAGTCTGGCTTGCCTCCTAGAAGAGGAGGAGGAGGAGATTGGAGTCTCAGAGTGGCTTACAAACTCCTTCCCCTCCCCACAACAGACACCCTGTGAGGTAGGTGGGGCCGAGAGAGCTCTTTCCAGAACTGTCCTTGAGAGGACAGCTCTGACAGAACTACGGCTTGCCCAAGGTCATCCAGCCAGGTGCAAGTGGAGGAGTGGGGGAACAATCCCGGTTCTCCCAGATTAGAGTCCGCACACTTAACCACCACACCAAACTTGCTAGTGGTGCATAACACTAAAGAGCTAGAATTGCTAGCTGCCAGACAGTCTTAGGATCTCCCTATACGGAACACACTGCCATACGATCATTATTAATTGCCATTGACTGTCACTGCATAGTAACACCGGAGTTCCTTGGTGGTCTTCCATCCAATTACTGTCTAGGGCTGACCGTGGCCAACCAGATCAGGGCCACCATCAGTATCTCTCTGTTTAACAAATCCTCTTTATGAGAAAAGGTTTGATCAGTGTCCCATGCATTGACACGCGTGCAGGATGGATGTGATCAGGGCTCTGAAGAACCCCTGTTTATTTATTTATTTATTTGTTTGTTAGATTTATACCCTGCCCTCCTCAGCAGGCTCAGGGCGCCTACAACAAAGGCAATTGCCATAACAACAATTAAAACATCATAAAACAATCATTACACAATAAAAACAATCATTAAGTAAAGTGCGGTGCTCTTGATGTTAATTTTTTTTTCTCGATCCAAGATGTTCAGAGTGCTACTTGTGCTTTCTACCCTGCAGGTGTCCTGGGATGATGTCAAGTGTACCTACGGCCACGCGGGTCTCCGCTGGTAAGGAGAGCGATCTGCTTTCTCTCTTCTTCTGAGTGCGAGGGCCAAGGACCTCAGTCGGAGGGGCTAGCACATTGCGGCCTCACCTTTCTCCCCAAGTGCCAATTAGCCCAGTTTATCACATGGAATGAGGTGGGGGGAGAGGGTTAATGACACCTGATGTCTGCAATAGAGCCTCACTGGTATTTAAAGGAGCCGTTGCATAAGGCGGTTGGGGAGTGTTGCATGCTTGATCCTTTTAATGTCCTCCCACTTCATTCCCTGTCCCAACATGTCCCCCTCCCCAAGTGGCTCCCTGCAGAGCTTCAGAGGCATATTCGAAAGCCCACTGTTGCAATGCTAACTGGCTAGTCTAGAGATCTGGCTGTTGCTGGAGGGTGGTGGTAAAGGAAGCGAGAATTCTCTTTTATGTATTAACACAGGCAGAGAGGAGAGGGGCGTATAGTGGGCTGCACGTCCTTTGGCAGTACCAGAAAAGCCAGAGGAATCTTTTGTTTGGACCCTTTTGCTCCAATCCCGGAACCTCTGACTGCCGGCTGCTCTTGAGTTGGTCTACTCGTGCGAGAATATGGCTGTTTAATCTCTTGGGTCATCCCCAGCTTTGAAATAAGCGCATTGAATTTTTATTTTGGCCTTCATTCATTAAGAGTCAGCAGAGCACATGTTTCAGGAAGTCGTACAGGAGCAGGAAGTCATACAGGAGAATTCCCTTCCAGCCAGGCTCTGAGCTGATTATTCACTTTCCATATTAATGGTCTTTTTGCTAAGATGCGGGTTTAACGACAAGAGGGGGACATGCAGTGGATATGAGCTAGGATCCCTTATTGGCTGGCTTCCTGTTTGTATTTCATGTCACTCACAAGTGCAAACATTCTTGCTGTGCAATGTGCAACATGGGGCTGAGTTAATAGCTGCTTCCTCTAATGTAGACTTGCCTTTGTCAGCCATCCACTTCACACTCTCTGTAGGATGCTGAAATGAGGACTAAGCACAGCCTAATCTGTGTGCTAATTGGATAGGACTTGCTGTTGTTTCTTCCCACAGGAGTGAAACAGCCTACCTTCTGGTTTACCGGAAAAAAGAGTCAGCAGCTGCATTCTGATCCATGCGGTTTTTCATCATGCATGGATAACTCTGAAAGGTTCTGGTGTGACTACGCTCAGAGGGGGACAGAGCTGGCGTATGAAGCACCTTTCCCTGCAGAGAGTCTCGGACAGCTATGCCGTCTTGGCCTTCCAGAGGGCCTCCTCTATAGCTGAAGCATCACTTCCCCTGCGGGCCCAAAAACAAGATGTGGCAGTTCAGGAGAAAGGGATCCTACATCTCCTCTGAAGAGCACCTTCTGGCATTCTCTTAGGGTGCGTCTACAAGACAACCTTGAATGGGTTTTTTGCTGGTTGCTAGTTACAGGGTTCTTCACGAGAGAATCCTAGTAGTTCTAGTCGGGTGAGAATTCTGTTAAGAAGTTTGCCCCTTCACAGGATTGGGTTCCAGGCTTTTCTTGGAAAGGGTAACAGGAGTTAAAACCAGTTTATTGGTAGGACTGATCTGCCCTCAGGTTCAGCATCCCGTCTCTACCTACACAGACTCCAGAGTCCAGACCAACCTTTTTATAAAACAGCTCCTACTTTTCAGGAGCCACCACAGATACCCACCACCATGCTCAACAGGCATCCCGTGCGAACAGCCTCTTAATGGGCCAAGGAATCCAAAGGTTGCGCCCGACTCATGAATGTCAAAGCCACCGGTATTTGTTGGGCATCCAGTGCTGTCGTCCCATACGCTGCCCCTGGAAGGTAGTGTTGTTTTCCTCTGGCCATCCAAGGCCCTTAACGGTGCAAAGGATGATGCATGATCAGTAGTACAGATAGCTGAGCAGATAATGGTTCCATTCTGACTTAACAGTATGGAAAGGAGTTTCATATGTGATCAGCATTTTATTTTATCTACTCAAATGTTTGAAATCCAGATCTGTGTGATCTTGCGTATCGATGTAAAACTGTCATAAATGAAGGGGGGGCATGGAGAAAGAGTATTTAATATGAAGTAATATTTAATATGAAGAAATAAAGTGGTAAGTTATTGTGAAAATAGCCATAGTACTGCCATGTATCCTATTTTCATAGGAATCTAAATGCAGCAGAATCGTTTTATGGAAATACTAGGAAAAAGGCCCGTTGCAGAAATAAATACAACGGCCTCTAGAAAGAGGCTCTGAGCGGGTGCCCCAGCCTTGGACACTCAGTGTCAATTTGCTGTGGCGACCTCAGCAGGGTATAATGACACTGAGTCCACCATTTTCTCCAGAGGAACTGATCTCTGCTACCTAAAGAACAGTTGTAAATCTAAGTGATCTCCAGCCCTCCCCTGGAGATTGGCGATGGTTCCCCAGAAGGGAATAGTTGGTTTGGAGGGTGGAGTCTATGGCTTTGTACCTGTCCGAGGTCCCACGCCTCCTGAAACCTCACCCTCTCCAGGCTCCATCCCTCATATTTCCAGGAATTTCCCACCTGGAGTTGACAACCCTATCTCCTTCCCAGCCAATCATCAACCTACCTTTATTTCCCCCTCACTCTTCAGCTTTCCACCCCCCCACACCTGCAGCCTCTCCCGTGCTCTGAAGCCTTGACTGCTACGTCACATTGGCTGTCATACGAGGGCCACCTCAGCAGCATATAAGGATACAGAGCCCACCATTTTCTCCAGGGGAACTGATCTCTGCCATCTGGAAAGCAGTTGTAATTCTGAGTGATCTTCAGCCCTCACCTGGAGATTGGACACATTTTACCTCAGAAGAGCAAAACTGTTTAGAATGTTAGAGGCAAAAGCCAGTCAAGTCGCATATGCAAAGGACCTCTGTGTTCCGAGGCAGAGGCCAATGAGGCTGCATATGCAAATAACCTCTGTGTTCTGACTGGCTATGGCGGGGAGAGGCGCAGCAAACTGTTTAGAATGTTGGAGGCAGGACTCAGGCAAAGCAGCCAGTGGATAGGGAGACCCTCTGAATGACAGATCAGAGAGCGAACTGATTTTGGAGCGTGTGGAATGTTCTAGAGAAGTGCCACCACCATTTGGCTATTATTTCCTGGTATTGCAAAAAGGGGGGGGGGTCTATTAGCTCCACTCCAGACTCAACTTTCAAAGATCTATTCCTATTATCTTTGGGGGAATATAGCTGATAAAGAATCCAGTTGTAGTCCTGTGCAGATTTATTTGGACGTTGCTTCCCAATTGTTAAGTATGCAACTCAACAACGTGGTAAGTAACAAGTGAATCAGCTTTATTAAGAATGAGAACATCCGAAGATCACACAGGACAAAGATAGTGGAGCACAGCTCCTTTTTAAACAATCCCGGGCTGGTGTAGCCACGCCCTCACACCGTTAAGGTCCAATCACTGTTCAGAGATAACATCCAATCATTACTGTTCCCTCCAGCACAGTTCTCTTACATTTGATTGGTTACAGTAATACTTCAGCCCAATGGTATTGTTACAGATTAGAATCCTGGCTGTAGGCCACAATATTACCTGGAGAGAGTGGGACCAGATATGGTCTAAAAACATTAAAATGACTAAGGCAGTATCATATAAAGAAAATATGTATAAGATGTTTTATAGATGGTATATTACACCAGATAAGCTGGCTAAGCAGAATGAAAATTGTTCAGATAAATGTTGGGAATGCAAAAATAAGACATTTTATCATATGTGGTGGCTTTGTGAGGTAACAGAGATACTGGAGATGGGTCCACAAGATGATGCAAGAGATATTGAGAACTAAAATACCATTTCTGCCGGAAATATTATTAGTAAACATATTTCCAAAGGAGTTTGATAAAGGTGATAGATATTTGATAGTACACCCATCTACGGCAGCAAGAATATTATATGCAAAATACTGGAAACAAATGGAAGCACCAAAGAAGCAAGAATATGTGAATAAATTGTTGGAGACAATTTGGAGACGGCTGAAAATGATAAACTGTCATCGTTGATGAGAGGGACAACAGACCCAACATTTCAAAAGACGTGGAGAAAACTGTATGATTGGTACAATATAAATGCATAGTTTAAAGTAATGAGATTTTTGGTATTAATCTTTTTTAGTTAAATAGAAACTATGGTAAAAAGATAAGAGTATACAGAAACTCAAGCTAACTTATAGAAATTCTTTAAATATGGTAATAGAGTTATAAGGAAATATACTGATCTCTTTGTATGTTTTATGTGTGTAAGTGGATGTTTGTTAAGTTGTATGTTTGTTTCTTGGTGTATAATATGGAAAATAATAAGTGTACCTAACGGGTACTTTAAAAAAAGAAAAGTATCCTGACTGTGGAGCATAACTGGGGGGAATGATCCTTCTCTCTCAGCCAGAATGCCGAGGGGAGGAGGGCAAGGAGTGTGCTTGCTTACAGACACCCCTTCAACCTGGGGCAGCTGTTCCACATGAACAGGGTCTAGGCTCTGCAATGAAGCCTGTCAACTCAGTATCCATGATATCTGACAGACACTATTAGGGGACTCAGCAGCAGTTGCCACGGTACCAAGGGCTTGTTAGGTTGCACATTCTCTATCATGCCCTTTTGTTGTTGTTAGCCATTCAGTCGTGTCTGACTCTTGGTGATTCTGTGGGCCAGCTCTATCCACGTTTTCCGATCTTGTACTGTTTCTTTCAGTCATTCCATGCTCAGGCTGGTGTCAGCTTTTATGGTGTCTAGCCACTGTGTCCCTTTGGCGGCTTAGTTTCCTTTTGCTGCTGACCGCTCCAAGCATAATTGCTCTTGGAAGCATCCACACGGTGTCTCTTTTCTGCCCTGCTTTTAGGTTTCTCCCCACTTTGTGGTGATTTCTTTTTTGGAAAAATGGCAGACAAAAAGTGCCTGTAGACACTGTGTGGATGGGAAAGTGCATTCTTGGAAATCCCGCAGCCGCCCCACATTGCCTTAGCCCTGTGCCTGCCATTCCTCTTCCACACACTAGAGGGCTCTTCTGGGCTTTGAAAACAAAATCTGGCCCTGGCCCTCAAGGGGAGGCTTCCTGTTAGGGATTTGTCCCAGAAAAGGCATAATAAAAGTCTCTCACGCTAGGCCCCTTGCACAGTTCCTGCATGCAGAAACACACAGTCGTTTTTTGCATATATGCATTGTCTCTTACCTTTTGCTACTGTCCATGGGGTTTTCTTGGCAAGATACTGGTGGGTTTTTTTTTTTTTGCCATTTCCTTCTTTAGTGGATCACGTTTTGTCTGAGTTCTCCACTGTGGCCTGTCCGTCCTGGGTGGCCCTCCACAGCATAGCCCGCAGCCTCATCAAACCACGCAAGCCCCCTTGCCACGTCAAGGCAGCGATTCATGAGAGAGGATCAAATGAGAAGGGAGCACTCACTGGAGAAGACCCTGATGCTGGGGAAGACTGAAGGTCAAAGAAGACGGGGACGGCAAAGGATGAGATGGTTAGACAGTGTCATCGATGCAACGAACATGAAATTAAACTCCAGAGGACGGCAGAAGACAGGAGGGCCTGGCGTGATGGGGTCTGTGGGGTCGCGAAGAGTCGGACTCAACTGTGCGACTGAACAGCAACAACAATCTTCTACTACAGCCTGATGGCACTTCTGGCACAGGCAAAAATCTTCTCCCTGCAAACAAATTTAAATTGCGGGTGCCTGGCAAAATGAATTTGTTTTAAAGTAGACCCTACCTTTTGCTGTTTCCATAATGATTTTTCAGTGATGCTATATGATTTTCAAGTGGGCATGCTTTTGGCAAAGTACCTGGGCGTTGTAGTTTCCCTCCCTGTCAACAGTTTGTTCCAGATAATAGGAAGACAGTGTATAATGCAGACAGATGAGTTTCAGGAGTTGAAATAATGAATCCAGTTTTTGGACAATACTAGTAGGAGGGCTCCAATCCTAACGCTAATTGTGGGATGAAAGATCTGCAGTTTCTCCGTTGGAAAATCCTCTAGATTCATCAATTCCAGCTCTTGAAACTCATGACATCTGAGGAAGAATGCCAGTGGATGAAACAAGTGTGTTCCTCCGAGGGACTCGTCAAGGGAGGGAAAGAAGAGTTGGTTGAGTTGATTAAACAGTAATCGCACTCAGATATTGAATCGTAAGTACATTTGGACTATAGTATTTTGAAAAAGAGTTTATTGAAACACAATTATTACAGGCACTGTATGTTGTATAAATAGTCAATGTGAAGATAAATTAATTCCATTAAAAAGTGATTGTGAATTTGTATACCAAGGATATAGGGGCAGCCAATTTCATAGTGTTTTGTTTATAATTTATCAGCAGTTTTGCACCCATCACACCTCACTCCACCGGTGGTTCCAGAGTGGCCACGTGACCGCATTGTGTACTTTTAAGAAAACTAAAACACGCGTGTTTGACTCATTCAGACACGCAGTCCTTGATTCCACTGCAGGAAGTGCAAGACACCATGTCTAGTAGGAACACGTTTCCCCCCCCCTGCACCACCCCTCCCTCCACCAGTACTGTAAGACATCCCTCATGCCAGGCCCCTGGTTAATGGGCCTGCCATGTGCTAGTGTTGCCAACCTCCAGGTGGTGACTGGCGTTCTCCTAGGATTACACGTGATCTCCAGGCAACACAGCTTTCCCTTGGCAAAAATGGCCACTTTGTAGGGTGGCCGTTATGGCATTTATACCCCACTGGAGTCCCTTCCCTTGCCAAACCCTGCAGTCCTCAGGCTCCACCCCCTGAATTTCCAGGTGTTTCCCAACCCACAGCTGACATTCCTTCCCCCCCCCCCGGGAAGGCAACAATGAGTGGCGAGGAAAGCTACCAATCTTACACACAGAGGCCCCCTTGTCATAGCTGGGGCCGTTGACCAGTCATGGTTACACAGCAAGGATTCAATCACTGAAAGGTGCTGCTCTTCAGTCTTCCTGGTCAAGCATCGGGGGGGGGTGTTCCTCTTTCTTGTTCTTGCAGTAGAACGGGGTGGCCAAATTGTGGCTCGGGAGCCACATGTGGCTCTTTCAGACATATTGTGTGGCTCCCGGCAGGGCAGCTGGGGAAGCTCGGCTCCCCGATTGGTCTTCCCTTCCCCAGCCAGTGTTCCCCTTCTTGGCTTGGGGGGGGGGGCAGAGAAAAAAAGCAACTTTAAAGTCGCTTTCCAAAAAAAGCGCGCCCCCCCCCCCCCAGCCTACAAAGATCATTGGACAAATATCATCATCAATATCTATTTTTACCCCTTTTGTTTGTTTTTATTTTTGGCCGTCTCATTTAATGTTAATAAAAAGCAAATCTGCATATTTTCCAATAAAAACATGTCTGTCATATTTGTTCATGTCATGCAGCTCTCGGACATCTGAGGTTTGTTCTGTGTGACTCTTACGTTAAGCAAGTTTGGCCACCCCTGCAGTAGAATACGCAGTGAACTAGGCAAAAGAAAGAACATCTGCCTTGCACCGCCATCTTTCATTGCTACCCATCCTTTGTTATTCTCCCCACCGCCAGCCTCATTGGTGGTTGCCATTGAGACGAGTTGAATGACTGTGAACGGTAATGTTGCAAGTATACAGTGCAAAACTGCACAAATGCCAACCAGCCGTTTGGCCCATAGGAAGATTCCCCATCACATGCACCAAAGAAGCAATAGGACACGGAAGTAAACTAGCAAGCAAACAAACAGGCACCAAACTACAACTGTCTTTGCTTATCAGTGTCATGCGAGATAAATTCTCCAGCGGGGATACATTTCTCCCTGTCCCTTTTGGGAACAGCACTTGTCCCACCACTAACACTATAGTGGACTCACTGGTTTTGAAGATCCTGATGCTTTACATCCTTTCGGGCAGGAGGAGTTAACCATCCCCACTCCAGCATCCGAGGCCCTGCACAGGCAGCTGGAGAGATGTTATGCAAGGCAAGATCTCCAGGTTGGATTGGAATGCACTGCTGTACTTAAGCTTCACCTCTGGGGTAGCCCTTGCTATTAATGCCCCAAGTCACCAGGATTTGGCAATGTAACTCCCTGGTCAGTACGACCCTTTATTCCATTCGATGAAGAAACAGTGGGAAGCAGCAGCACAAAACATCCCACTGGTGTGTTACCGGTGCCACTGGATGCAGCCAAAAGCCTGCATCCAGTATCTCAGTAGTATGGTTTTATGTACATTGAGAATGAAAAAGATGCTGTGTCTTATTCAATACTGGAGCTGGGTGGTTTTGGTGTTCCACCTTTGAGGAAACAAGGCGATACGGCAACTTTAAGCCGGCAGGGCTGGGAAGTGGGTACACAAGTGGCGAGACGAGGATGTTGCGAAGAGGAATGATAAATATCTATATTTGGACTTTTTATTGTTTGAGGAATCTGACTTGGACTGTTTCTCAAGGTGTATTAATAGGTCTGTTTTTGTATTTGGACCGTGTACTTTTGAGTTTCTGAGTACTATACTGTATTTTTGAAAAACTTTATGTAGGTTTAGGTTATTATACTCCGTGATTGTTGAATATGTTTGGTTATTTAGGCACAGTCTGTTCTTTTTTTATCTTTTGTATTACTCTCTTCCATGCGTCTCTGCTGTTTGAGCCGCCAAGTGATGGCTGGTAGAGCTTACAGGGCCCCACTGGCCCCACTGGTGGGGGTGGGGTGGGCTGGAGAGCTCCTGGGATTACAACTTTTCTCCAGGTGGCATAGATCAGTTCCTCTGGTGAAAATGGCCGCTTTGGAAGGTGGACCTCATGTCATCATATCCCATTGACGTCCCTCCCCTCCCCAAGCCCCGCCCTCCTCAGGCTCCACCCCCAAAATCTCCAGGTACTTCCCAACCTGGCGCTGGCAACCTGAGCTGCCGTGCCCAAACCCGGGGCTCACGGCCTTGGGAGGGAGAGGAGAGGAGCAGCCGGGCTGTGATCTGTCGGCCTGGGGAGCTCGGCTGAGCTGGTGGCACCCTGCTCCTCCTCCCTCCCCAGCCGGCCCCAGTAAGCAGCGCTAGAGACGGGGGCGCCACTTGGGGCTGCTGTTTGATGCTCCTCTCCCAGGGTTGTCAACCTCCAGGTGGGGCCTGGAGACCTCCTGGAATTACAACTGATCTCCGGACAATACAGATTGGTTCCCCTGGAGGAAACGGCTGCTTTGGAAGAAGGACTCTATGGCATCACATCCCTGCTGAGGTGCCTCCTCGACCCAAACCTTGCCTCTCCAGGCTCCCCCTCCAAAATCTCCTGACATTTCCAAACCCGGAAATAGCAACCCTATGTGGCATACTAGGCAGTTGCCTAGGGCTGCCTAGTGAGTAGCCTCCTCTGCCTAATTGGGGTTTCCAGCTCCGGATTGGGAAAGTCTTAGACATTTGGGGGATGGGGATTGGGGAGAGTAGAGAGCTCAGCGAGGGTTTAATGCCGTCGAGTTCAGCCTCCAAAGCAGCCATTTTCTCCAGGGGAACTGGTCTCCATAACCTGGAGACTAGTTGTCATTCTGGGAGATCTCCGGACCATGCCTGGAGGTTGGCAACCCATGGTGGTAGCCTGAGAACTTAGTGATCTGGCACTGTCTTGTGCAAGTGTTGCCCAGTCAATGATCTCCTCTGGCAGCTCGGCGCTTTTTGGGAAAGTCTCTTCTTCCTATTCTAACCTGTGGGGCTTATCCCTGGTGAAATAGATTCAGGCGGGCAGCCGTGTTGGTGTGAAGCAACAGAACAAAGTTTGAGTCCACGGGCGCCTTTAAGACCAGCAAAGTTGTATTCTCAAACTTTGCCCTGGTGAAATGTCCACCTCATCTCTGCCTAGCTTGGAGAACCCAAGAGGCAAGTTCCACCCCACAGTTGCCCTCATTTTTTCCCTTAAGAGTCCACAAGATTGTGAACACGGGGGGCATTTTTCTTTAAAGTTTCAAAGTCCCATATATGTGCTTTGACGTTATCACAAAAATGCAGGGATCCTGGGAAAAATCACATCTCTGGGTTGCTACTAGAAACGACAAAGATGCCAGCCCTTTCAAAAGTAGCTGTTTGTGTGCAGAAAGCATTTTCTAAAAAATTGTTCTTCTGTGCTGCACAGAGGACTAGTTTTGAAGGCATGCGATGAGACAAGATACAGCAGGACCCTGTTTGCCTCCCTACCATGATCTGCAGAATTCCCAACATACCATTCCCATCAGGCTCAAAGCTCTGCTGGAATTTCACGCCTGTTGTTTCTTGCTTGCTTTTTATAGCTGCGTCCGGATTGGAAGCGCTGCCTGTCAGTCACAGAGATGCGCAATCTGATTCATCCCCCGTTCCTCTTTCAGCAATCTCACAATCCTTTGTCCACCAGGTCTTTATGACATAATAGAACTGCTTTCGACCGGGTGAAGGAGGTTCTCTTTATTCTGGTTGCCCTAGCCTCATGCTGTTTGCTAGTATTTATGTATTGTACCATTGATTGGGAAAGCCTGCAGGAGGCTTCCTGGTGCAGGTTTTCTTACTCTTCCACCAGGCAGAAAAAAGGTTTGCAAAAGAGTGCTCACTTCCTAAAACGAGGTCTAAAACAACTAGAAATCACAGGCTGTGCTCAGTTCTTTAATCTCA